CAATATTGATATTTGGTGTAGCTTATCCACAAAAAGTTATTTAGGATTTACAATACACTTTTTGAGGGAATATAGTTTGTTTCGTAAGCAATTATAGTAAAACGTGATTATAAATTATAAATTATTTTGTATTTTTTTTTTTATTTGTTATTAAATGTCTATACAAATATTGTATTATTATGTTTATTGCATAATATTAATGTTAATAGTAATACGATTTCCAACTAAAAAATTTATATTAGATTGATATAAAAATAAATAAAATCATATAAATTCTGAAGTCCTAGATAATATATTTAATATAAACAAGTACTTAAACAACCATACTACAAGTTAATTAATATTTTTGAATTAATTTGATCTATTTAGTTAGCAAGAAATAATTTTTTATGATAAAATAATATATTAATATACCTATAAAAGTTATTATTTCTTTTGTAAGGTGAAATAACATAAAAAAAAGCCGGCCAAGTGCGAGTCGGACATTATCTCAATGTATAGGTACTTATTTTATTAGTATTAACGCTATCGCGTTAAAATCAACTTTCACTTGACTGTAAACAGTCGGATATCAAGTGTAACAGTTGTACCTACTACGAATAGCAGTCTCGGTGATGTCGAATATATCTGTTATCTGAATTTCAGCAGTTCCTCCTCAACAATAGGTACTTGTTCCGGCGAGGAAAATAACAGTGGACTGTATAATTTTGTTAACTTAAAACGATTCATTATAATTCTGTATTGAAATTTATAAAACGAATCTTTGTATTCGACGTCACTCATGGCAACCATTTATTAACAATACGACGTCACTCGTGGTAACTATTTATAAACAAAAATTTCCATCTGAAATATCAAAATTCCCGTTTTAGCACCCCTCGGGGTTGCTCCTATCCCTTTTTTTAGTATTTGTTGTTTATCATCCACGGGAATACATAATCTGTGAAAATTTCAACTTTCTAACTTTCATGGTTCATGAGATACAGCCTGGCGACAGACGGACGGACGGACAGCCGAGCGAAAGTAATAGGCTTTCGTAGGGAAACGTACGGAACCCTAAAAAGCAACACATGCTACGTTTAGAGTTTAGAGATTTAGAGTTTATACCATGTATTGGACACAATCAATTAAATTATCAAAAATCAATATCAGAAACAAATAATTTGAGTTATTACCTTCCTAAAGTAGGAGTAAATATAAAACGATGAATAAGAAGTCAAAATAGCAACAACTCATGAATATTAAAGCCATGTAATGTAGCAACTCGTGCACTGTATAGCACTAATGCGCAAACCACTTAGATTTGAAAATTGTACTATTATTTTTAAATATGGGCATAAACTAATTAAAAAAATATTTTTTTTATTTTAATAAATTCTATCATTGTACCTAGATGGAGAAATATTATGTGTAGCTATGTAGGTAATTAGTTTTTATTGTACAGTCTACCATACGAAATGCTAAGTGTACGGTGTGGTATACCTACATTTTATGGTGTGCAAAATTGGTTTTATTTTTCAATGACGAATGAATATATTATTATCATCATTGTAATCGGTTCGATTCATCGGAATCGATAGGACGTTAATAAAAACCTCGATTATTCGATAAGCGTAACATAAAATATCGAACATTGTTTATCTAGGTATATATTATACTCAATGCTATTATGTTCCAGAGTGGAACAAAAGACTGTTGTAATTCAATTATGTTTGAATCGAATACGATTCGTAAAGATAAGTAAAAAAAAATTTACATAATCAAAAGGGAAAATGTAGGTATACTTAAAAATCAGTTCTATATTTCTAAATTATAATTAAAATCGTGCTTAAAATATTACCAATCCTCGTATGCGACATTAGATACTTGCAATCCGACCATCCTCGTTCAGTGTTTCGTAGCCATCGAAACGACCGCGATATTGATGTGAACGGACGGAAATCGGGAAATGCGTGTGATGCAAAAGAAATCGTGAGACGTGCGCGTATAATGGCCGACGGTTATTGAACAGTTAAAAGATTTAAACTTTTTCATAATAATATATTACGATTTGAAATCATTAACGAAGTCGGTGTCCGCGAGCAGTGCGCTGCGATCGACTGGCGGAACGAGTGCCTTTGGACTGTCGTCGAGCCTTACCGTCGTACCACCATCGCCGCCGCCGACGCCTTACCGGCAATCCGACATTGCGAAGCCCCACATAAGTCTACGCTGATTCCGGAGGGGTCGAGGCAGCTGCGATGTCGTTACTCTGTTGTTGGCTATCGTGATCCAAGACAATGTTCAGCTGTACGAGTGTACGACAATGTACACTATATTTTTATGTTGACAATGAATGAGGAGGCGGATTCACACGCATTCAGGGACGTTCTTGGCTTCTTGGAATACAGCTGCAGCTGTAGTAGCTGTATGCAAGACACGAAATACCTAGTATGTTTCATTGTTTGAATAAAAATTCGTCGACTTGTCGTTAATATTTCTATTATATACATACCTAGTATTTATTATGGGTTCCTATTCCTATATACATATATAATAATATTTTATGTATATAGTATATAATTATATTATGTATTATGTATAACTGCACCATAGACGAAGCTGGTCACATATTAGATTCTGAGTGGAACAATAAATGTATTGATTTTACAATGATGTGTGTTTTTAATTTTTAATTTTTTTTGTGTCTGTGTAAACGATAAGTAGTCGAAATAATGCTTCGATTTTCAACTTCAGTATCTTGTTCGATTGGAAAGTGAATATCATTGGTGCATTGGGAGGTCAAAATTTAAAATTCCCATTAGATTTCAAAAGAGCCATCAAAAACAAAAGAAAAATTAAGAAAAACCAGTAATTTTTACGCAAAATCGATTTTTCACAAAATTGAATTTGGTTTTTGGCGTAACATTAAAAAAAATGATCGTAGATACTCGTACATGACATTTTCACTGGTTGTTTATATTTGCATTTTCTATACACGATATCATTTTCAAAATATTTTGATTTATTTTGAACTGTTTAGGGACATTTTCAGTTTCCAATTTTATTAGTTTTTTTTTTTTATGAATATCAATAAAAATTTATTTGTTGAGTAAAAATACTTGAAAATTTAATATAAGGCGCCTACTATATTGTTTCAAAGACAGATGAAAAATATTAAAAATCGTTAGTCACAGTTTTTTTTTTAAGCATTTAAAGTTCAAAAAATGACAAAATATGGAAAAATCACGAAAATTTGCAAATTATTTCGAGTTAGAAATTCATAAAAATTTTTCTTTTTAAATATAAGATATGAAAATGTAATACAAGATTCCTTATAAGATTACCTACATTTATCAAAAAAAAAAAAATTCTATAAGAAAGTCAAATTAAATTTTGATGAGCGTTTGAAATTCAAATTTTTACAACATTGGATATTCACTCGATTTCTGATGTGGCGATTTCCTTATTTTTTTGTAATTCAATTAGCAATTTCTATACACCATACAATTTTGAAAATATTTTGACTCTTTTTAAGCCGTTTACGGACATTTTCAGTTTTCAATTTTTTAGTTTTTTTTTTCTATAAATATTGTTACGTACCTACGTATTTAGTAATAAAGTAATAACAATGTACAACGTAGCGCAGGTTTCTAATAGTACTCGACGATATAATTAATAAGGCAATTAGTATATTATAACACGTTAGGGACACTGTAAAAGTATCTCTCTAGGAAAGTCAAACATTCATACGAAGGATACGAGTCGACCAGCATACCAAGTACGAGACCAGGACTCTGTCTCATGACCGAATTTGGCCATTGATACAACCACCCACTCCAAAGGACTCGATCATATAAATACCAGCCCAGGACAAGAGCTCGTCAGACGGTTAGGGATACTCAAGACACTTGGAGGCAGGTCGTAAAACCACTCACAGTCTTAGTATCATTTTGGAGGCAGGTCGTAACACCACTCAAAATCTTAGTAACAATTCAGAGTCAGGTCGTAACACCGCTCACCTCTCTACATAAGCTTTATACATTGTAATTTTGTACTTAAATAAATACTCATAATAACCAAGTGCATCAAGTATTCATTTCCACGTTGATGTATATATCGACGTCAGTTGGGACGTAACAGAATTTTGGCGCTGTGGACAGGGATCTTCCAAGATACAAGGATCATTCAACAATATTTTTCGAAATATTTTGGATCAACTTCAATCAACAGAGGCAACTTCACCTTCGTGGATCACCGTTGAGCTGAGGAGTGCACGCTTCAATTCAACGACTCTGGGAAGACCGAACGTTTGTTACAATCCAACTACGGCGAGAGAGATCAAGCAACGAGATGAATACAGCAATGTTGTAAGCATAATTTATATAACCGTCTCCTTTGGTCTATTGGTCCATCGTAATTAGGGAAAATTATTAAAGAAAGGGCATATTATAAAAATATTATTAAAATATTATTGAAGGGCATATTATAAAAAGTTATTTAAGGGGCAATTTTTTGAAGATATTATTGAAGTTATTAAAGGGCATTTATTGAAGTTATTTTTATGAATTATTAAAGGGCATTTATTGATTATTATTTAAGGGCAATTATTGATTATTATTGAAGATTATTTTGTGAACTATTAAAGGGCATTTATTGAGAAGTTATTATTATGAATTATTAAGGGTATTTTATATTATTTTGAGAATTATTGTGAATTATTACAGGGCATTATTGAGATTATTATTGAGATTATTATTAATTATTGAGGCCATATTTTTGAGTTCATCTTATTATTTAAGTACAACTCCCTTGGAATTAGCTACTCCATTGTATAGAACACGTGTAGATTTTGTAGCCCATGTTTTAAAGTCCCTAGCCCATGTTTAAAGCCCGCCAGCCCGAGTAGAAGCCCCAGCCGAATTTAAAGCCCAAATCGAATAAAAAAAATATATAATAAGTCAATTAAGATTATATTAAATGAGATTATAATTAAAGGATTAGAGTAAAAATAAATATTAATGAACAATAGTTCAGAAGGAAATATTAATGACGAATTTGAAACGATAGCTAGAGAAACGTTAGATAGAATAATTGAAATAATCGAAAACGAAAGTAATTTAGAAATTGACGTAAACAATACTGATAGCGAAATAGTTGACAACATAGAAATAGATAATTTAGACGAAGAATTAGATTTATTTAGTGAAGAAATACTTAATGAACGTATAGAAACTAAACCAATAACCAGTGATATATTAAATAAAAGTTTACGATTAATAAACCTAGAAGAGTTTGAAAATAGTCCTACCACTAGCGCAATTCGTCAAGGGTTACGAAGTAGTAGAAATACTATACACACCGAATATATTTAACCAAAAAGAATAGTTAAAGTAAAGAAAATGCCAGGTAGTACCGACGGGAAATCCATAAGTGCGTTAGACGCAATAAAATTAATTCCTAACTATTCAGGACAAACTGAAATATATCCATTTTTAAATGCATGCGAAGTAATCATAACTACGGTAGATTCAGAACAGCACCCTTTTATGTTAAAAATGATAGCAGCTACTAAATTGTCAGACAGAGCTTTTAATGTAACCAGATATAAGGAAATTAAGGTATGGGAAGATATGAAAAAAATATTATTAGACGCATTCGAGACTCCCTATGGCGCAGCTAATTTACAAATCGAATTAAATATAATAAAATTAAAAAATAATGAAACCATATGCGCGTACAACAATAGAGTAGAAGAAATATACCAAAAACTATGTAACACAGTAGCCATAGACAAAACACCGGCAGTAGCACAAATATTACGTGACAATATTAGGGAACAAGCTTTAGTCAGTTATATAAACGGTTTAAGCGACCAAATAAAATTTGAAGTAAAAACAAAAAGTCCTACCTCTCTTGAACAAGCAATGCAAATCGCGTTAATTACCGAAAAAAATATTCGTACTCACAATGATGTACAAGAAATTTTCCGCGCAAATAATACGTACAACAATAGAAATGCTCATCAAAATAGGCAATATAATAATAATAATAATCAAAACACAGCGTACAACTATCGTAATAATATTAATAATAATAATACTAACAGAAACAATTCCTACGATAGGAATACTAATAGAAACCCGAATCCAAGAAGCAACAATTACAATGTTAGGCGTTGTCATACATGCAACCGCGAAGGACATTTTGCATCGCAATGCCGAATGAACAATGTAGCGTATAATAGTAGACCACCCAATCAGAATAATTTCACACGTCCACCCACTAATTATAATGCAAGGAGCGATACCTGCACTTACTGCAATAAACCAGGACATAATATAGCCGCCTGCTATAAAAAACAAAACGACGAGCGACGTAATAAAAACTCGGGAAACGAGCGGACATCTCACGTACCCCCCGGAGCACGTGCGATCAATCACATATCCGTGGACCCATCCGAGATTGTTACCCCATTATATTAACGAAAATAAACAACAATAATCACATAAAATGTAAATCACCCGCCTGTATAAATGAAGAATTAGAATTTTTAGTCGACACAGGTAGCGAAGTAAATATAGTAAAAAACAATATATTAAATTACGATATAGTAGTAGATAAAACACAAATAGTAAATTTAAAAGGAATTAACGATAAAATAATACAAACAATAGGCAAGCTTACAATACCTTTGATAATCCAAGGGCAAGAAATTAGCACCGAATTTAATTTAGTTGACGAAAACTTTCCAATAAGGAAAAATGGTATATTAGGAAATAGTTTTTTATCAGAAAATAACGCTGTAATTAACCTAGCCAATAAAACTCTAGTAATTAATGCTAATAAAAATAAACAAAAAGAGTTACTATTAACCCCAAGATCAGAAACAATCGTATCAATACCTATAGCTGCAAAGGATGTAGAAAGTAAAGATATTTTAATTCACAAACAAGAAATAATGGAAGGCGTATTTTGTGGAAGCGTAATAAATACCGTACAGAACGGTGAAGTAATAATTAGTATTTTAAATATAACCGAAAAACCCCAAAACATTATGTTAAACAATTTAAATAAAATACGATATGATCATGAATTCGAATATAATACTCAGTCAATAGTACAAGACGATAATAAAAATAAACGCATAAAAGAAATAAGACAATTGATTAGGAGTGATCATATGGATAATGAGCAAAGGCAAACTATCTTGGAAATATGTGAACATTACCAAGACATATTTCATTTAACGGGAGACACGTTAACATATACAAATACGTTAACGCATAAAATTAATATACCGGAGAATCAGGAGCCCATATATAAGCGACCGTATCGCTTACCACACGCGCAAATGGCCGAAATAGATTCTCAAATCAAACAAATGGAAAAGGACGACATTATTGAACCCTCCTTTTCACCATGGAATGCTCCCTTACTTTTAGTAAAAAAGAAACTAGACGCGAGTCAAATACCAAAATTTAGAATAGTTGTTGATTTTCGAGCTTTGAATAAAGTAACGATAAACGAGTACCACCCACTACCTAACATTACCGAAATATTAGATCAGCTAGGACAATGTAATCTGTTCAGTATTATTGATCTTGCTTCAGGTTTTTACCAGATAAAATTAGATGAAAAAAGCAAAGAGCTTACAGCCTTTTCAACTAACCAAGGTCATTGGCATTTTAAAAAAATGGCAATGGGTCTTAAAACATCTCCATGTTCTTTCCAACGATTAATGAATAATGTAATGGCTGGTATCGTAGGCATAAAATGTTTAGTGTATCTAGATGATATAATAATATACGGCAAAGGGTTACTTGATCATAACGAAAAACTACGCGACGTATTCGAACGATTACGAAATCATAACTTAAAAATACAACCAGCAAAATGCGAGTTCTTAAAACAACAGTGTATGTATTTAGGTCATATAATTAGTGAAAACGGCATACAACCGGATCCTGCAAAGGTCGAATCAGTATTACGGTTTCCAGCACCAACAAACGTTAAAGAAATCAAATCGTTTTTGGGACTTTCTGGGTACTATAGGAAATTTATAAAATCTTATAGCTTAATAGCCAAACCAATGACAAACCTATTAAGGAAGGGCGTTACCTTTAACTGGGACACCCCTTGCCAAGAAGCATTTGATAAATTAAAAAATATCCTATGTTCGGAACCTATATTACAGTATCCAGACTTCACAAAACCATTTATCGTTACCACAGATGCAAGTGGAAAAGCTCTAGGTGCCATATTATCCCAAGGGGAAGTATCACGGGATTTACCTATTGCATATATATCTAGAACTTTAAATAAAAGTGAAAACAATTATAGTACTACTGAACTTGAGTGTTTAGCTATTATATTCGCAGTAAAAACATTTAGACCCTATCTATACGGAAGAAAATTTATTATAATGAGCGACCACCGCGCACTTTCATGGTTATTTAATTTAAAGGACCCCCTATCGAAACTCGCACGTTGGCGAATACTTTTAGAGGAATACGATTATGAGATTCGTTATAAACCTGGAGTATTAAATTCAAACGTCGATGCTCTGACCAGAATGTATACCATAAATGAGATAAAAGAGGAAAGCTATCCCGCATTTTTAAATAAATTCGAAACACAGTTAATAACTAATAAACACGTAAAAGAAGTAAACGGTAGTCTAATAGAAGCACCCGAGGAATATCACATAGTCTCGGAGATAGAAAAACATTATAATTTTATGTCAGGAATAAATTACGAAATAAAACAAAAATTTGGCAACGGTCAGAAATTAACACCTAGTAAAGCAATCGGGGAAGTAAATTATTTACGTGATAAAAATAGATATATAATATTCTTAACTACCAAAAGTAGAAACAAACAAAAGGCGACATACGAAAATATTTATTTGTCTCTATTGAATTTAAAACTATTATGTGAAGAACACTCATTGAATAAATTAGCTATGAATAAATAGGGTTTTAACGACCGATTAGAATGGGCTCAAGTACGTGCTATGATTCGATATGTTTTCCGAAACACAGGAGTAGACATAATTATTTGTTCCAAGTTAGAATTTAGTGATGAGGAAAAATTAATCATATTCAAACAATGTCACGACTCCGTAACCGGCGGACACGTCGGAATACATAGAACCATAAAGAAAATAAAAACGCAATTTAATTGGCGAGGTTTAAAACAAGATGTAATCGAATATATAAAAAATTGTGCATCATGTCAAAAGAAAAAGGTCACGAATAAAAAGGTAAAACAACCGATGGTAATTACGACCACTAGTTTTGAGCCATTTGAAAAAATATGTTTAGATATCGTTGGCCCGTTGGTCACTACATTAGCAGGGAATACATATATATTAACAATTCAATGCGATTTAACAAAATACACCATGGGCGTTCCCCTCCCAAATCACCAAGCTAATACTATAGCCGAAGCATTCGTAACACATTTTGTATGCACACACGGTATACCACAAACCATATTAACCGATCAGGGAACCGATTTCTTAAGTAAAATATTTACCGAGGTATGCAAATTATTGCAAATAAATAAAATAAACACAAGTTCTTATCGCCCGGAGGCAAATGGAGCCTTGGAGAGATCACATAGGACATTATCAGACTACCTTAGACATTATGTCGATAAGAAATTAAACAATTGGGATGAGTACTTGCCCTACGCATTTTTCGTTTATAATACTACGGAGCACACATCAACGGGATATCAACCATATTCTCTACTATACGGTAAACATTTAGAAATACCAATTAAGCTATCACGAGAACCTGAACCTAGATATAATTATGACAATTACTATTTTGATTTAAAACAGAAAATGCAGGAGGCTCATAAAATAGCAAGAGAAAGGCTAATAAAATGTAAAATAAAATCCAAAGAGAATTATGATAGCAATAAAAACCCCATAGAAATACACGTAAAAGATCAAATTTTATTAAGGGAACGCGCGCAAAAGAATAAACTAAATCCATTATGGACAGGCCCCTATGAAGTAACCGATGTATTAGACAAAGAAAATATAGTAATAATACGCGGGAAAAGACACGTCACGGTGCATAAAAACCACGTGAAAAAATTCCACGAGAATCTAAGTTAAAAAAAATGAATAAAATACGAATATATAATTAATTAATAAGAAAACTTTTTAGGATCATGATGACGATCGTCATGCTCCAAGTTGCATTGGCACAACCAAAGCCGTATCAAACTTCGAAACTGTCCCAAGAAAATGGGATGTACTTTGAAAATCAGGGACCACTTCGATTAACAAAATTCTGATTGGAAATTGATAATATATGTAAAATTAGATAACTTTAATCAACGTACAAAGGAAACTATG